ACTGCGTCAGTTTTGTTCGGAAAAAAAAAAAATATCTTTTTTTTTTTTTTTTTTTTTTTTTTTTTTTTTTGCGAACGTAATTTTTTGTTGTGGTGACTGGAACGAGAAGTCACGATAAGCCCGACAAAGGTGATCGTCAGGTCGCACCGTGATCTCGCCTACTCCGTGCATGTGGGCACGCGGACTCTGTGGCATCGTGCACGTGTCAGTTTTGGGATGACATCATCGGTCCACGGCTGGGCTTTTCACTCTAGCCCTGTCTCACATACCGGGGGGAAGGGGACTATCTGGTCGCGCAATCCGTCTCCGAATTTCTTCTCTGCAATAGAAATAGCGTAAAACATTTTCCGCTCCATCAAACGGGAAACTTTCTCCACCAAATTTAGTGAACAAATTATCGGCTAAATTCAGCGGGAAATTTTTTGAATAAGTTTAGGGGGAATTTAGTTTCGCGTGATGTTATGCTGCCACGTTAACGTCAAAGAGTCACGTCATGTCATGGCGTCACGTTACGTCGGAGTGTCAGGTGAACTCCGTTTACTAAATTTAGTGGGAAATAAGTCCGCTAGATCTAAACGAGCAGTGTAACAGTGTGTTGTAAAGACTGAAAGACAAGGCCTGCGCTTGACGTCATCGTTAGTGGATTCCCGCCCCAAGCTACAGACACGCTGAAACTCGACGAGAGGCGCCGCAAAGCGACACACGCGTGCGTCTTGGCCGTATACCTCGGCAAACCTCACTCATGAGGGCCCTCACTCGCCCTCACTCACCCTTATCTTCACAGGTGAGCTGAGGGTGAGTGAGTTTCCGAACCAGGAAAATTCACGAGAGTGAGGATGAGTGAGGGCCGTGAGGGCTGTGAGGGCTGTGAGGACTGTGAGGACCGTGAGTGCGTGAGGGCCGTGAGGGCGGTGAGTGCGTGAGGGGTGTAAGGGCCATGAGTGCGTGAAGGGCGTGAGGGCGGTGAGTGTGTGAGTGGCATGAGTGCGTGAGGGGCGAAAAAGAAATAGTCAGACAGAAAGAAGAACGGGTCAGAATGAGAGAAGATGCAAGACAGGCAGCTAAGGAGGCGCAAGAAACGGCTGACAGAGAAGCTCACAGATTCCAACAAGAACAGGCGGTGCTGCAGATGCGTGTTCAGTTGCGAGGAAACAAAAGTTCACCTCGAGATGAGAGAGAGAGAGAAAAAACTTTTAATAAACAATCCGTTTGGCTCTTCCGAGACGAGAGGAGCCCTCATTCCAGGGCCCTTGTATGAGGATCCGCAGGATACTGGCAATGGAGAAAACCCAGGGAGGTAAACATGTTATCGTAGCCTTCATAAATTAATCCCACCGTTTAATGACAAAAGGGACGACCTAGATGCTTACATCCGACGTTTCGAGCGAGTGGCGACCAGTCAGGAATGACCCCAAGAAAAGTGGGCGATGTCTTTGAGTCTCTGCCTCACCGGTGAGGCCTTAACGGTCGTTGGAAGGATGACACCCGAAGAGTCATTGGACTATTCAAAAGTAAAGCTTAGCCTGCTTCAGCGGTTTCGCTACAACAGAAGGCTACCGGGAAAAATTTCGGCAAAGCAAGCCGGAAGAGTCAGAAACCGGGAGAAAATTTGCAGCTCGGCTCCTCGGTTATTTCGACCGATGGCTCGAGACGGGTGAGACCATTAAGACATTTGAAGGGCTCAGAGATCGCATGGTCGCAGAGCAGTTCTTAAGAAGATGTAGCACAAACCCGTCTATATTTTTGAAGGAGAGAGACTGCAATACCCTCGAGGGTTTGGCAGTAACTGCAGACCACTTTTTGGAAGCGCAGGGCCAAACTAGCTTGTCTAGCTCGAAAGAAGAGGACCTAAGCCATAAGAGTGGAGGTCGTAATAAAGAGGGTAGTCGACTGAAAGTTCCCACCAAGGGAGTGAGCCGATGTTTCCTCTGCAACAAGCCTGGACATAAAGCCGCAGAATGCTGGACCAGTTCCAGAGCTCAACACGGATCTGCGTGCTGGAGGTGCGGCAAGCCGGGACACAAATCAGATGCGTGTAACTGGAAGCCAGAAGATAAAGGTAGCAAGACTCCTCAGGCATCCTGTATGTTGACAATCGCTGACAGCGAAAATCCAGAAGAGACATACATCGTACTGAGAAACGGAGAACAGATACCGATAGTAAATGCGGCACTCGTAAAGGCTCCACGGTTCCTGGTAGATAATATGCCAGTGGTGAGGGGAGAAGTGTGCGGTCGTCCGGTCACCGTACTGAGAGACAGCGGCTGCAACAAGGTTGTGGTAAAAAGAGATCTGGTTCCCGATGATAAGTTAACCGGTGTCTCTAGCCCGGTTTTCCTACTTGATAGTACTGTAAAGTACCTGCCAGAGGCAGAGATAGAGGTGAGAACTCCGTAGTTTACGGGCAGTCTAACAGCCAAGTGCATGGACAACCCGTTGTACGATTTGGTGTTAGGAAATGTTCATGGGGTGAGAGGAATTGGTGATCCCGATGAAGAATGGAATGACGAGGGAAGAGTAAGCGGGTCTCAACTGAACGAAGAGAGAGAGACATCCAAGGGGACGTCAGGAAAAAGTGACACTGGCGAAGGACTCGTTCTTGACGAGAGTGGGTAAGAAGGCTGTGACGTCTTGGTGCCGGAGATTAATTCTGCGGGAGCGCTGAAGAGAGTAGCCGGCAAGGAAAAAAATTCCCAACTACCAGTTATGACGCTCGAACCGACGGGAATTGACCACAACAAGTTGAAACTATCTCAACGTAATGACGAATCGTTGAAGAAATGCTTTGCTGCCGTCGGCAAAAAGTATATCTCGGGAAAATCACACGAGTCTGAATTCGTGTTGCGTAATGAAATCCTCTTCAGGAGGTACAAGACGCCGGCACACAAGCAATGGGAACAACTAGTTGTTCCAATAGATTTCCGAACCATCGTACTGAAATTGGCGCACGAAGGAATCATGTCCGGACATCAGGGAACTAAGAAGACCACTGATCGCATCCAGGAGGAGTTCTACTGGCTTGGAATTGCAATGGACATCAAGCGATTCGTGAAGTCGTGCGACATGTACCAGAGAACAATTCCTAAGCACATGGTGCCGAGAGCACCCCTTGGAACCATGCCGATCATCGACACTCCCTTCCAAAGAGCCGGCATTGACATCGTCGGACCTATCGCGCCTAGTTCAGAGACGGGCAACAGGTATATACTGACAATGGTTGACTTCGCTACCAGATACCCAGATGCTGTCGCTCTGAAAAGCATCGACACAGTAGAGGTAGCGGAGGGCCTACTGCAAATGTTTTCCCGAGTAGGCCTGCCACGAGAAATTGTCAGTGACCGGGGATCATGCTTCACGTCGGCTCTCATGAAGGAGATCAGTCGGCTATTGTCGCTCAGACTGCTGACGACCACCCCCTACCATCCAATGTGTAATGGGCTGGTTGAACGATTTAATGGGACTCTAAAACAAATGATCAAGAGAATGTGCCAGGAGAAACCGCGAAGCTGGGATAGATTTCTCACCCCGTTGCTTTTCGCATACAGGGAAGTGCCGCAGAGCAGCCTGGGGTTCTCCCCGTTTGACCTTCTTTATGGAAGGTATGTTCGCGGTCCTATGGCGGTTCTGAGGGAACTCTGGACCAACGAGAACATCGACCCGGAGACCAAGACAACATACGAATATATGGTTGATCTGCGCAAGAGACTTGAAGAGACCTGTAAAGCCGCCCACGAGGAACTCAAGAAGGCCCAACGGACACAAAAGGAACACTACGACAAGAAGAGTCGAGCGCGCCAACTACGAGAAGGCGACAGAGTACTGATCTTGTTACCGACAGACAGGAACAAGTTGATTCTACAATGGAAGGGTCCATTCCGGGTAGTTGAGAAGAGGAATGACGTGGATTACGTCATAGACCTTGGTCAGAAAACGACCGTGTTTCACATTAATATTTTGAAGAGATACCAGGAGAGAGAAGTTCTTGGAGCTCCCGGGCAAGTCTTGGCTGGTATGGCTGTGGAAGAGGATCCCGAAGAACAGGAGGTCCCTCATGTCGGTCTTCACAAGCTTCAAGATCACAAGGACGTTCAGTTCTCAGAAGAGATGACCGAGTTCCAAACTAACGATGCAATGAAGCTGCTGGAAGAGTTCCAGGACGTATTTTCAGATCTTCCCGGTCAAACCAGGCTCATAAAATGCCAGTTGAAACTGAAGACAGATACACCAATCCAAGTGCGACAATACCCCATTCCCTTTGCGCTACAGGAAGAGGTAGAAAAGAAGATCGGCGATATGTTACGCCAAGGCATAATCGAGAAGTGCGACTCGGCCTACAACTCGCATGTAGTTGTAGTAAGGAAGAAGGATAAATCAACACGTTTATGCATAGATTTCCGCCAACTGAATAAGGTTCTGGAAACCGATTGCGAACCGATTCCTCGAGTCGACATGATGGTCGCTGAACTAAGCACTAAACGATACTTTTCTAAATTTGACTTCGCCAAGGGATATTGGCAAGTACCTATGACCGAAGGATCAAAGGATGCGACCGCTTTTTCAACAATGTCGGGACTGTATCAGTTCAGGTTCATGCAGTTCGGCATAAAAACAGCCCCAGCAGTGTTCACACGATTAATGAGGAAAGTTCTCGAAGATGTACCAAACGTACATCATTACTTTCACGACGTCCTAATATCAACCGACACTTGGGAGGAGCATATGAAGACAATGAGCCTATACTTGACTAAGGTGAAGGAAGCTGGACTCACCGTCAAGCCAAAGAAAACAGAGATCGGGTTTTCAAGAATAACTTTTCTTGGCCACAAAGTCGGACAGGGGACTTTCGAGCCCCTAACAGAGACGCTAGATAAAATTCAAGGCGCAACAAGACCAAGGATTTATTTATTTATTTATTGATCCTTTGGGAGGGAGGATGGCACAAGGCCGCTGGGGGGGTAAGGGGGTTGAGGGAGGGGGGGGGGGGGGGGAGTGTCTGGTTTTTTTCGAAATTGGCATCAGTCCCGCCGTCTTTGGTCTTCGGTGTCTTCTGCAGCGCCTAAGTCATGCAGGCCATCCTGGAGCAATCGAAAGGAAAGAGTAAGTCAGCCTACACCATCCTGGTCAGACCGCTAACGCTACCAAAAGTGGCGAGAAGGTGTCTATTGGCTGGTTGATCGAAGAGGTGTTGAACGAGGGTTGCATGGTCGGAATGAGGGATGTGTACGATCGTGTCCCGGCCGGTCGTGAATGCGGAGCAATCCCATATAAGATGAAGGAGGTCTGCTTTTGCTGTCTTCTGGCAGTGAGGGCAGCTTAGGGGAATATTGAGGTCGATAGGGAGCCATTTTTGAATAATATGTGGTGTGTATGCAGCGTTAGTCATGATTTTGTTAAGAAATACTTCTTGTGCGCGCGTGTATTTGTCGGTGGGGGAGAAAAGGGTTTCGGGTGTCGCCCGCTGGAGGCGATCCTTACTATCTTTGCGGATACGTGTGCGTAGATAGTGCAGAAAACTCCGAGGCGTCATCAAGGTCAAATAGGGATTTGCGAAGGGGATCTGTGAGGAGGGTGGGGTTGTAGTTACGTTGCTCCCACGTGCCTGTGTGGCGGCTGCATGTGCTGCAGCGTTTCCTCCTGGGACCCCGGTATGGGCTGGCGTCCAGAGGATCTGAACATCCGCGCCCAAGTCTTGAAGCATCCGAAGGCGTTTACGGATTTCAACAGCGGTAGCATCTTCGGTCGTTGGTGTTGACAGTTCTTCTAGAGCTGCGACGGAGTCCGTGTAGATTCGGTATGTACGCGTTAGCGTCTGTTCTCTTTGAAGATCAGGGAGGTTGGGAATCGAGCAGGTCCCTCCCCATATTGCTAATAGTTCAGCCTGCAGGGCGGTGCCTTGCGGTAGAGTGCATGTATGAGCGCCTGTGAGCTCTGGTCGGGAGGTGCAATGCCACGCTAGTCCGGCTCGGTCCGCCAAAAAACTGGCGTCAGTGTAAATGTGAACGTGTCCATTATTTTCAGCGTTGTGGTGCTGGTAGGCCATGCGGTTACGGAGGTCGGAGTTTTGTGTAGGTATCGCTTTGATGGGTTTTAGGCTGATGACGGGGCTATCCCACGGCGAAGCTTCATCAGGGCCGCTCCAGGCAACGTGACGCTGAAGGTCCCATGCTAGGGTGCTTCGCCCTTGTAAGGTATTTTCTAATCTAGAGGTAAATTGGCTACGTGCTTCAGCCATAATGACATCTATGGGAGGTATTGGCACCGTGGCCAAGAGCCTGTCGTTGCGTACGTGTTTGGGCAGACCGGCGATGGTGCGCAGCGTGGCCCTGTGCAGGCGTTCTATGTCTCGTAGCAGGGTTGGGGTGCAGTCGTAGGCTGGTGTACCGTATAGTATCCGGCCAACAGCCGTAGCACGCGCCAGTGTTTGACAAGATTGCTGCCGGGCTCCACCATATTTATTGGAGACCCGTCTAATGGTGTGTAGCAGTGGGGACCAGTGTTTGCGCAGATGTTTAGTCCACGCTTTAGGGCTATTACAGCTGGCAATCTGAATCCCTAGGATGCGAATCTGGCCATTGCTAGACTGGATGTCCTGCGAGCCGACGTGGAGGGTAATTCGGTGAGCGGGGTTCGTCACGTGCTTGCCATCTACACTGAGCAGTTCTGTTTTTTCCGGGGATAGCTGTAGACCTAGCTCCTCGAGAGTTTGCGAGACGCTGAGGACCGCCGCCTGTAGTTCGATCTGCATTGTTTGACTGTCCGGGTAATCCGCTGCTTCAGTCCAAATTGTAACATCGTCTGCATATATAGTAAAACGGGCAGCAGTGTCACGTTCCAGCCGCTGGGCCACCCGTGTCATTGCTAGATTAAACAGCAAAGGTCCGAGGATGGACCCCTGGGGGACCCCCCTATCCAAGAAATAGGTTTTCGCAGTCCATCCCGGGGCCTTTCCATTGAGTTGAATAGGTCGCTGTTGGAGGAACGAGCGAATCCAGTCTTGGGCACGTTGGCTTGGGTAGCGCTGCGCTAATTCTTGGAGTATGGCTTCCTGTGAAACGTTATCAAAAGCCTTACGCATGTCTAAGGCTAAGATATAGTCGGGAAGCGCTTTCCTACTTCGGCGGTTAATGACACGGCGTAAGAGCCACAGACAATTGTGCGTCCCCATGTTAGGCCGGAAACCTGCTTGAGCCGGGTGCAAGCCGGGTTGTACATATTCGAGGTAGTGTTGAATGCGGGTATGGATCATTCGCTCCATAAGTTTGCAAACGGTAGAAGTCAGGGATATGGGGCGCAAATTACTCGGTGTAGACGGGTCCTTTCCGGGTTTAGGGATTGGGTAGATCAAAGCTAGTTTAAGACTATCTGGGACTTGCGCAGATGCCCAGGATTCGTTGAGAATTTCAAGGAGCTGACGCAAAGCCGTTTCGCTCAGGTTGCGGAGTTCTTGCCAAGTTATACGGTCATGCCCCGGTGCTGAGCGAGCCTTCCCTTGTCTGAGAGCTGCCATGAGCTCGCCGAGAGAAAAAGGCCGTTCAAGAGGTTCATGTGGCGTTGAGATGGTGATTTCGGGGAGCGGTGGAGGGGGTTGGTTTGCGCGTGCGGAAAAAAAGTGCGAATAACCTGGTTTTCCACTGCGATGGGATCGTTTCGGAGAAAGAGTTCATCGAGAGGAGAGGCACCTTTCTTCCGCCCTAGCATAGAGCGTAAGATGCCCCAGAGATGTCGTAGGCCCGGTTCATGGCTGAGTTTAGAGCAGGTGTACTGCCAGCGTGATGTTTCGAGCTGGCATTGATATTGGATGAGGACCTTATAGTGGTCCTTTAGGCGCATGAGGTCTTTGTGTCGCTTGCCTCCGTGTCTGTACTTGATAGTAAGAGACTGTGCCCTTTTCCACAGGTTGGCGAGATGTGCATCTATGGGCCCAACCGTGTCGTCGCAAGTAATCTCTTCAGAGGCCGTGATTCTGGTCTGCTCTAGGAGGGAGGCGAAGGTCGAAAAATCGTTAAAATCTGTAGTAAGATGACTCCGAAAAAGTTCCCAATTTTTAATCCGGCGGATGATTTTTACTCTGAATTTCTTTCGGTTCAAAGTGATAAAGATTGGAAAATGATCGCTACCCCACGTGGCAGTCGCGAGCTCCCAGTGACGGATGAGTTTCGTTGTTGACAACGTGAGGTCGGGAGAGGTATCTTGTTGTTTAGCATGAAGGCCAATCCGCGTGTAGGTGCCCGGGATGTTCCCAATATCGAGTTCTGTGAGTTCAATAGCGTCAGCCAGAGTTTTACCTCTGGTGTCCGCGTTTGGGTACCCCCAGTGTTGATGGCGGGCGTTGAAGTCGCCGCCAATTAGAAGAGGGGTCCCGTTTGCGTGCACCTGCAAGTTCTTAAGCCACGCAAAGTCGTCGTCTGCATGCTTACCCGTAAAAGGGCGATAATAGACGGATGCAATGATGAGAGGTTGTTGTCCAGGAGGACGCACTTTAGCAGCAATGATCTCACGCACCTCTGTGCAAAGGTTTGGTAAGTCTAAGGCTGCAGCTGTGCAGTTAGCGCGTATTAAGAGCGCCGCTTGGCCCTTTGCTAACGGCTGCGAGTGTCCCTTGTATAAGTGCGTGATGGATGGTTTCTGGAATACTGTATAGCCAGGAAGCGTACAGCTGCCTCGAGTCTCCTGCAGTAAAATGGCCAGAGGTCGTAGTCGCCGTATGTTCTCGCGTAGCAAGGCTCCTGTCTGACCAAAGCTCCGGCAATTCCATTGTATACAGATCGGAGAGAAACCTATTGCGCTTCAGAAGGTCGCCGTCGTTTAAGCTCATCATTCATCGTTAAAAGATTTTTTTGGATTTCCGCTAGCATGTCTTGCATCTTTTTTTGAAGGACAGTGGTAACAGTATGGAATTCATCGCGGAGACTCCGTTCGAGACGATGATTCTCCGCTTGGCGCTCGCCCCGGATGATGTTGAGCACGCTCGTATACTTGGAGTGCTCGTCTAATAAAGGGATTGTAGGGGCCTGTTTTGAAGTTGTGTGGTGCGACTGAGAGCTTGCTGTGGTTTTTCTACCTCGAGAGCGGGAGCGACTGTGAGCCCGAGACCGGGACCCGGCACCGGGGGCTGGTTGTGTAGCTTTGTTCACGCCAGGCGCCGGTGTTGGGACGCCCATGACCTTGAGGTGGGCCAGCACCTGCTCCATTTGGTCATGCAGCCGTTTGTTTTCCTCATGAAGGCGCTTATTCTCTTGCCGCATGTCATTCATCATTTGAAGAATCTCAAGAGGTAGAGAGGATGCCGGCTTGGGGGGCGGCGGGCCACTGACTTCGGCCCATGTTACGTTACGTTTTTCAGGTGGGGCCCGCGGGGTTGGCGGCTTTGATTGGAGAAGTCGGCTAGGGCAGGCAGAATTTAGAGAGAGATGTCCAGGGACGCAACACGCGGCACAGAATGGTTCCTCGTCACATGACTCAGTGGTCGGGTGACGGCGTCCACAGTCCCTACACACAGTCTCCGCTGGGCAAAAACGTGCGATGTGGCCGAGGCCGTGGCAATTGTAGCAGGCGACTAGTTTGGGACGGTACGGATAGACGTGGACCACCTCAAAATCAAGTACCATCCTAGGTGGGAGCTCGGGAGCGTCGAAAGTGAGGAGGAGCATTCCTGTTTTCCCCAGTATTCGCATATCCAGAATGGTTGCACTCTCGCACCGCAGGTGCTGTTGTAGATACTCTAAGGTGTGCTCGGGGCGCACCCTGATAACACCCCGGCAACCGTAGGGACGGGTAGCAGGTGGACGTTCTATCTGAACCTCGTAAGTCTGAAATTGACCGTTAAGCTTACTGATTAGCCGAGAAAGTCCTAGGAGAGCTTGGGCATGCGCGTCATCTCTTACGGTGATTCGGATACTGTTTGCTCGAGTGTCGTAACGGTAGATAGCCATGAGGGCAATGTCTTGTGTGGGAGCTGTACTTTCAATAGCATGAGTTATGGCCTGTTTAGGCAAATCATGAACGTTTACTTTGTTGAGCGGTCTGACAGTCAGGATATGTGGAGGGCGACTCACCCTCTCCAGTCGTAGCTGCTCCGGCTTGGGCGGCTTGCGCTTCTTCGTCACGGTCTTCCATTTCTCGTCCTCCATCGTCACGGCGACGTTATCTTCAACAGCCATTTCAGCGTCCGGAAGCTGAAGAACCGGTGGCCTGAGCGTAGACGCAGTCGCTTGCGGGGCATCGGTCAGCATCGCAGAGGCATGGATCGCCTTCGAGGAGAAACAGTCGAAGCGGCGAGCCACTTGAAGCCGGTAGGTTTAGTCGACTAGGCGGGCTGTGCCCGGCGACAGGCGTAATGGTACTAGGCCTACCCAGGGCGCGGGAGGCCCAGAGCGGCTCGGGGGGAAAGGACGTCCGACTTGCCGATGCTGGAGCCGTCAGCGCTTCGGGGACCAGCCGGGTTTCTGGGGTGATAATTTCTCCAGTACCTTCTCCAGTCCAAGCTACAATTATATATAAATAGGATTCTTGAGAGCGATGAAAAGGTGACTAAACGCTGAGACACTTCGTCGTCGTCTCCCACCAAGGATTAAAACAAAAGTCCGATCCTTCCTGGGGCTAATCGGTTATTACCGGGAAGTCATTAACAATTACGCCGAGACAACGCTCGCTCTGACGGAGCTGACAAGGAAAAGAGCGGCCAGCAAGGTTATCTGGGAGGAAATACAGGAGAGGGCGTTCGAGCTACTGAAGAAACTCCTCTCCGATAAGCCGATTTGGAAATCTCCAGATCTGTCGAAGGAGTTTATTTTAAGAACAGACACGTCGGAAAGGTTTCTGGGCGCCGTACTAATGCACGAACATGAAGGGGTCTTGCCTCCGGTTGCGTATGCAAGCCGGAAGTTACTGCCACGAGAAGTCGCGTATTCCACCATTGAGCGTGAATGCCTAGCCCTCGTGTGGGCAGTGCCACAATTCCACATATTCTTGTTTGGCAAACGCTTCACTGTACAGAGCGACCACCAGCCGCTTGAATACATTCACTCTGCTAGGCATCTGAATAGTCGTGTATTGAGATGGAGTTTGTTACTCGCCGAGTACGATTTTAAAGTGACGTACATTAAGGGCTGCCAGAATGTTGGAGCTGACTATTTAAGTCGTTTGTAATGCGCCCACAGCTGTTACTGGTTTTGTTTTGGGGGGAGGTAATAGTTTACCTACGTATGAAACACGCTTCGTCGTTGTCGTGTGGATTGGTAACAATTGTTTGTTTTGACTACAGGTTTTATTTCTTTTGCTCAAAAGTTTTGGTAAACAATTGTCTTAAAAGGGGGGTAATTGTGATGATGTGGGAGAACCAACGATGAGGAAAACGACGCGCGTGAAAACTGTGAGTTCGACTGAGCAACGCTGTGGACTGACCAGAGGACGAGGAAGAAGGCGCAGTGAACGTGGGGAAGATGGAAATGCTTAAAAGACAAAGAAGTTCAAGGCAAGTGTATACGGAAGAAACGAAGACGACGACGAGAAGGGAAGAGAGAACACAAGCTCGTGACTCGTGAGAGAAGGGCGTTCACGACACGGAACCCGGCTCGACAGCGGTGGTCCCGGCAGCCAAGGAGGAGCCCGGACGGACGAGTCCAGGCCCATGGGGCTTTCACCCAAGCTCGCTGAGAAGCTTCCGCCGGTGCCTAGCAAGCAGCTGAGCATTCCCTGGACAAGACGAACGCCATGCCTACGTCGACGTGCACTACCGGCCGTAAGCGGATGCGGCGAACTGAACTTTGTATATATAGCCACACCATTGTTTTTCTAACCTCTTGCTTATACGACTGTAAATAATATCTACCTTCTTACATTCACCTCACTGGAATTCCGAGTCCCTTTAATTATTATTTTTTTTTCCATCACAATTACGCAAGGTAGGCGCCACCTCGTGGGTCCACTTCTGATGACGTTTGGGGAGAAAGGAGCAAGCCTTGTTTTCTGGGTGGCCGCAGTTCATTTGCAGGACGCGGCCAGGGACTGGAAATATTTGGTCGTCCTCACATTTCAATCGTTTCCAGCAAGGAGATCGAACGACCGTGCTTTAATCCCGCCTTCATACAAAACACAGCCTGCGGATGAGTTTTTTTTTCTTTGAATGGCTGTGTCATAAATGTTTTCAGTGTCGAATTTCACTTCGAGCACTCTATCGTATTTCAAGTCAACTCGTGCTTGCAGGTGCTGTAAGCACGCACGCGTACGTGTTTAAGGAAGCCTGTCTTCAAACTGTCACTATTTGTTCTTTTTTCCGGGATAGACTTACGGTACTTTATGGACTCTGACTTGACTAGATAATGGGCGAACAGTTGACTCGCCAGGTCGCTGGTCTTTCGGCACACTCGAAGTGGCCTATCAGATATGCCCGCGTCTTGCACGCGAATGGGACGAACACTGCTGAGATAAGCAAGTTGAAGCTGTCTGCGTCCAAGACGATTCGCGACTGAGAACGCACCGGGCGTCTCGAACGGAAGCTGCTGATGCAAAGACTCTCGCACATCAGCGCTGAATATTATAACGAATAACAATGACGAAAGAAACAAACGAGTTTAGAAACTAAAATAATTATAAATACACTGATTTTTAACTAAGTCGCTACTTGGCACAATTACTTTACTTCCTATAAGTAACTACAATTTAGCGTGATTGGTTATTTTACAGTTACTTCGAGAAGGCTGTAACTGCAACGTACGACACTCAATGTGTCGCGTGGTAGGTTTCCGTCGAATTACCAGAATGAGGGCTTTCCAACAAAACAACAATCACACCACATACTGTTTAAGGCAAACATAGGGGGACCATGAAGTTTGAGCTCGACACAGACCGCGATATCATTTTCAGAAGCGAAAACGCGAAAACATAAACTCGCAAAATGTGTACTTTTTAAAACGCCCTCGGCGTATTTCTCGCCTCAACTTTTTCACGATCGCATCGCTGCAAGTGTCACAAAACATAATCTAAGGATCCTTCTCTCTAAATCTGCAGGGACGCACTGCTGATACATTATACGAAAGACAGTTTTCAAACACGAATCACCGATATATCCGTGGTTCGAAAGCCGCGTGCCGAGTTTTCTTTTTGATTTCATTGTCATGCGGCCTTCGAAGCAGGGATCTCGTGGTAACTCGCGTCCGGCTTTAGAAGGCTCGTTTTCTTACCGCGAAATAGGCAATTTTTATTTGCAATTGAAAGCAAAGCGCCGCGCTGCACAAAACACTTGCTCGGTTTTATCTCTAAGTCTCCCAGAAGAAACATTGACCGAAACCTACATCGAAATAGCTCCACCAGAACATTCTGGTTATCACAGATAGGTTTCGATCAAAGGAACGTCGCGTTTGTATACCAACAAGCACGACGTATTGACGAATATTAAAGCGAAGCATACGTTTTTTCTCCGTTTTTTTTTTTTTACCTCGAGTTTTTTTACGAAAGCGTGCCAGCTGCCGATTATCACGTGACGGGATCGCGTTCGTCTAAACAAGCTTTGCGGACGTGTTTGTACTCCTCCACTCGACAGTTTCATGCGACGCGCTCATCGATCACGCGACCGATAATGTTCGTCCTTGCACCGAATAGCTTCCCTGTTTTCACGCCACGTTGTCGTTGCTTGGCCGGAGAAAGGTTTCACCATCTCAAAGAGTTCTAAGCGGAGTCGCGGGAGGCACGGACGCCACGAGAAACTCCCTCGCCTCCCACAACAGCCGTAGAACCGTGTGCAAACAAAGTAGAGAGTTATTAGTAGAACGTATGCGGGACTGGGAGCCTATAGCGCGGGTGCGTGTTCAATCCATGCTTTGCGAAGTGACGGCGCAAGTTTCCCGCTATCAACGCGAAGCAGCGTATACAAGGTCTACTAAAATTCTCAAGTATCTCGCGGCGGCGTTGATAATTTTCGACCCGCGTTTCGCAACCTGCTCTCACGGCTTCCTGTTTTGACTGATATAGACCTTTCCAGCGGCAGTCTCGAACGAAGCGAGCCGGCAAAAAATGCTGAGTCATTGAGCTGTGGACGCACGCGCAGCGTCCGATATACCGCACGGCAGATCAACGGCGCATGCTTGGAAGGCGTTCCACAGCCCAGCAGACAAAGATGGCAGCGCGCACGAGGCGATTTCTGCAAAAGTCTATAGGCGCGGCGAAGTTTCGACGAGCTTGCGGACACCGGCAAGACACACCGCCCCCGTGCCACGACGAGGCTCGCAGGTGTCGCCGCCCCATGGGAGTGAAATGCGCTCGTTGAGGGCTGGATGCAGTCTCCAGCGCTAAGAACTCGTGTCCCCCAACCTTGCCCGTGTTCGACGCACTTATAGTTACTGGCAGGATGAGAACTGCGATGCGTCTCTTTGGGATGCCCGGCTGGAGATGGAGGCGGGACAAACAAAATACCTCCTCGCCATTTTCACCCCCTCAGTGACTGGCTGGTGGTCCGTGCTTGGCACGATAGAAACCTCAGGTACCCAGTAGCAATAAACCACGGATAAACCGAAGGACGACAGACTCGGCCACTCGTATATATGCGACTTTTCAGGGATTGCGCGAATGCTTACCTTTGGGCGAGCGGTATTCCTGCGCGGAGTCCCCGAGGTCGAATCAACAGCGTCGCCCGATGACCAGGACCGACGAGATTCGGGGATCTCGCGGCGACACCTCCATCGATTTACAACTCTGATGAAATCGGCTGAGTAATCCGGACGGAATCTTCGATGAACGGAGCGCTTTTTTTCTCTTTTGTTTTCTTTCTCTCTCGGTCCGTATAACGCGTCCGCTCGGAGATCTCTGCGTTGCATTGTGGGTCCAACTGTTGACCGCACTGATAGATAGCTGGATAAAACGGGGCCAGTTATCGCGGGGCTCTAGGCGACGAGCACTCGAAGCTTCCGCTATTTTGCCGAATGCACGGTGATGAGACGAACTCGTAGCGCGCCGAAGAAGGTGCGTTTCCCGTTAGGTCATCGGCGTCCGGAAAGATAGCGGATGTTCCCTACCGCGCTCCACGGGGGCTCGTGGCAGCTGCCGTATGTTTGCGTGTGTCGCGTGTTCTTCTTCTCGCTTGCCGAGGCGAGTATGCACCGCTGGATAGATATTTTTATCCCTCTCACTCTGCACAGCTACCTTTTCCAAGCACTGGACTGGATACGCTTGCTGACAGCTTTCTTTGTAAGCGGTACTGCCACGAAGGAAAACTCCGCGGATGGATCTGCGAGAGGCCAGCAGCCAGCGCCGGTGGCCTGGGAGGGTGGGATGCTAATGTCAGCTGTCTAAATTAGCCGTTCCCTCTCGACGGCACTGCAGACGAATTCTGTCAGCAAAACTCTTGACCAATTAATAAGAAAAAAAAAATTTGCCGCCATACTGGGGATTGTGTACCGTCCGGGTGTCCGCTCCATCCCCGAACCTGACGTCTTCGCGCCGCATCGCAAATGTATGACGATTCGTCACGCGACGCGCGCAACTGACAAAGAAATCCGTCGGATATCCTTCACGGGCGAGAGCCTTGAAACGATATGGCGACGGCTTTCAGTTTCCCTGCCACGGCCGGACTCCAGCGTGGGCTGAAAATCGAGCGCGTAATAAAAACAGCGACGCCAAAGACAGACGTCTTGAGATTGACATAGAGGGGGCGCTGCTGCTGCTGCTGCTGATTCGCCAGTCGGTCAGTTCGGTCGTGCACAAGCGTATACGGGCTGTTTGATTTTTATTCAAACGGACGTACTAAAAGAAGGCGTGACATGTATTTACACGAATGCGGTTTGTGCAGGTGAATTATACGACCAGAGAGACATAATATAGGGAATAATCGTCCTGATAAGTCGATTAATTAATGACACTTAGTTAATCAACTTTCTAAGCTGAACACATGGTTCCAATTAGAAACTTGCTGAGCGTATAATTCAAAAATACAAAATCATTCGCTTTTAGAAAGATCCGAAGCAGGTAGTAAACGTGGGGAACACGCGCAATGATGGCGATCTGAAAACAGGCTTGATAATCTTTTCATTCTTGTTTGCGCCCCGCCAGCGTTGCCCCTGATGCACAAGTGGTAACTTCAGCGCACTCCCAAGCTTACTAGCTGCTTCGGGTCTTTCAAGAATTGACTGACTTAGTGGTATTAAATGACACTCAGCAAGTTTCTTATTGGAACCATATGCTTATTTTCACAAATTAGAAATTACATGAAAAAAAGTATACTTAACTTTCCTACTTGTCGTGAGGATTATCCGCACCCCGACCGCATAGTGCACCCACACTGACCGAATTAATGTACCTTTCGTGTTTTTTAGATTATTATTTTTTTAATAAGTTCGTCCGAATTAAAATCAAACACCCTGTTTTACTATTTTACCGCCCGATCACTTTTCGTGTGTCTGCGAAGTGCACGTGCTCTGAACTCTGAGCGAATTCGTTGTTTTGGCCAGGGATGCGATGCCTTTTGGTTGCCCTCTCCACTGTTCATTTCCGTCTTGCTTCGGCTCGTGTCGATCGGCTGCACTCGACGCAATAAAGGATGTCTGCGCCCTGAGACATGCACACATCCGGACACCCTATAGTCATAATAGCACTGCTCATAGATTATACGAAACACTTGGCTGCAGACATGTTAAGCATGCATGTTTGCTTCATACGCCTATGTACGCTTCGAACGTGCAATTTTCGTTTGGTCATTGGAAAATAGCTCAGACAGCGCCTGCAGAACGTCGCTGGTAGGATGTGACATGTAATAATGTCGAGACCGGTTATAACGAAGTCGGTTATAACGAAATAGCGGCTACTAGCGAAGCGATAACAATCTCCCAATCTCTTTTGCACTTCGTTATAACCGAACTAGGTCACAACAAAATAGCAGATATTGCGAAGTGATTTACGATTCCCGTTGACTTCGTAATATCCGGTCTCGAAAGCATGAACGAGTGCTTTGGCTGACCCGCCGTTTTTTTTTTTTTACAGGCTGACACGCGGGCGTTTAGCGTCTGTCACATATTCCAAGGAGCGTATTCCATATGAATGTGCGCCCTATTTTTTACCGCAGATGCCGTCCACCACTCGGAGGAAGCTATACTGGCCGGGTGACTACGCCGCTACGTTTCAGGTGCAAAAAAGGGTAAAAGCTGTCTGCGTCGACTGGTCTACCTCCCCGAAGCCCGTCGCCTCCACTCATGAAAGCCCCTCTATAAAGTACCAGGGCTTTACAATCTGGAACGGCCTTCGAACAGCCCGCAGGACCACCTCTGGCTGATTCGCCTGAACCTTCTCCGAACCTCCGGGACACGGACAGCGATTCTCGCGATGATCGGAAGACCATCATTGTCCTTATCTTGTACTTGACTCGCGAATATCACAGTGTAATCACCATTACTAGACGCGGCACCGCGGGGATCCGTGATACGGGCCGCTTACCCTTGGTCAGTATAGATAACTATTATTCTTCTACTCATACACGCCCGCACGAGCCGAATGCACTTGCGCCATCGGTGTGACAGCCTTTTCGGGAGCACTTTTTGGTAGTGCGTCAGACCCGAGCCTGGACAACGGCTTCACGCTCATCAGTGGCCGCAAAACAGCGTCCCCGCCTTTTTTTTATATATATTTATATTTTAATGATCCTGAACAGGTTATATTTTGTGACCCCTGTGGGCAGGATTGTTGCATACACATGCCCGATCAAAGCCCAACAGGTTGTACGACACGTCAAAAAGATGGCCGAACCCGATCAGGCGATGGCCACCTCACGTGAATGCAAGAGGCGATGCCGTGACACAGTATTTTATTTACTTTCCTTAGTATTTTTTGCTGGCAATTCATTACATTTGACAAAAATATATAGAACTGCATTCACTTGCCTCTCGGCATTATTAATAGCAAATTTCCAATTACAGCTGAAACTACATTTGAAATAATTTACTGACAGAAGAGGAAGCAAAGGCTAACTGCCTTACTTGTCTTTACACCAGTCCGCGGGAACTGGTTTTAATGCGAAAGCATTAACTGTCTTATGGAGCGAGCTGACGTCATCAGTTTGAAGCGCGAAAACGGCTCCTAGTTTCCGCGATCCCAATAGGAGCGATTCGCCTTCGGTTCCATTGGATGGCGCGCGTCGACGCGGCTTCCATTGGCCGCTGCGCCATGGCCTCGGAGATCCCGAAGCCCGCTAGTACGCAGCAGACGACAAAGGGAGCGGACGAGCAGACGACAAAAGGAGCGGACGAGCGGCTTGCATGCTTTCGCATTCACAACTCATAAGAAGTGCTTACGTGTACCTGGAGATTTTTTATTTCCCTTTTACTTTGAATTACTTCGATAAAGAACGACCCTCTTATAATCTCAGTAATACAACCAAATAATACAGCAATTGCTTTCTCTGTTATTCCCAGAATTGAAACAACTAGACCGAATCTGACGACTGCAAAATGCTGCATTCTGAATCCTCAAGCAATGCGGCATGAAACGAACAGATAGATTTCATTGTGGAAAAACGCTGTCATATCAATACCGCTGAAATCGAGAAGCGGAAAAAGTTATGTACTTAGCTTAGCTAAGCCGAGTGTGCCATCGCGCCGCAGCTCGAAGCACGTGGTCTGAAAACTCGTGCTGGAGAACGCAGGAACGCTTAGACTTAATCCGCACTCCTGCCCGTTCCCTAGATGAGCATCGTACCGGCGTGCGGTCGTGTATTACAGCTGCGTGGTGCACGTTAAAAACCCCACGTAGCGGTGGTTTCCCTATAGCTAAATTGCTCATCTACAACATCGCGTGAGGCAATTAATGTCGTTCGTAACCGAGATGGGTCATTCCATGACAAACGTCCCAGACGTTGCGCTCGACCCCTTCCGATTTCTAAAAAAAAAAAAAATTCATGGTATTTAGCCGCAATGTCCGTAGCCATGCCCTGAAATATTTTTGGCGGAAAATATTTTTTGATGACGTGAGCGCGGTTTTAACTTTTAAAGACAGCGTGAAACTAGGCATCACTCTATAATTGATGAAAAATCAGCTTTTTAGTAAAAACACAATATTTTTTCTTAAATTTGCACGGCTTTCGACTTACAATATGGTTGGGCTTGTAAAGTTTTGTTTAATTTAAATATAAAAAAAAAAACTAAACATTTTTGCAAATTCTAACATTTTTGTTTTTTTAATAAAAGAATATCTAATATCTCCCGGGACTTAATATAACCTTTTACCGGTTGTCCTGCAAGTATATAATCTATAAGAAAAATTTAAAACCGCTCAATTAAATATTTTGCAGTAAACAAAAATCCTGAAGCTGCAAAAAGGTGCGTTTTGACGCATAAACAGTCGTTTATTTCACCCTGAGGTGGTCCAATTAAAAATACAAAATATGGTGGGTTTGGAAGAACAATCGATAATCTTTTGATTCTGAAAGTTTAATCACAGTAATTTTTGTTTAAAGCGAGAAAAAAAATTTTCAAGTCGAACTCCCGCACCACAACCCGGCGTCGCTTCTTCGGAAATTGAATTTGCAAGCACTGTTAAAACTTTAGGCATAATTTTTCATGAACATATGTTATGGGACTCCTATATTCAAAATCTTACACTTAAGCTTTCAAATATCGTAGGAATTCTATATAAGCATCGCCATACATTACCATCTAGTATTAAACTCTTAATTTATAATGCATTGTTCAATTCTCGTATATCCTACTGTAACCTGGTGTGGGCAACCACGACCAGTACAAACCTTAATAAACTTTTTTTATTGCAGAAGATAGCAATTCGAGTCGTAGCCAATGCGTCGTATTACGCACACACCGATCCACTTTTCTGTAAGAATAAAGTAACAAAAATACAAGAATATTACAAATATAAGC